ATTTCGTCAAACAACTTTTTAAACAGAAACTGCATTATTGGCGTTTTCCCGGTCTGAGCACACCATCTTCCCCAAAAGCAAAGGACCCACTTTACTGCCCAACCTTTCACTCCCTTAAAAAAATCCTTTCCTCCATACAATCCCTCCGTAGATTGAATTCCACACTCCACCAAACCAGAAACTGAAACAATGATTCTGGTATTCTTGCTGATGTTCTTCAACTCTTTGCCGCATGCTTCTGCTCTCAACCAGGAAGGTCTCTACTTGCTGCAAGTCAAGCTAAGCCTTTCCGACCCAACCCATGCCCTGTCCTCCTGGAACAACCGAGACGACACTCCTTGCAACTGGCGCGGCATTTCCTGCAACTCACTCACTCGACGAGTCGAATCGGTTACCCTTCCCGACTCTCAACTCGCCGGGCCCTTCCCGCTTTTTATCTGTCGTCTCCCTTCTCTTCACTCCGTCTTTCTCGGCAATAACTCCATTAATTCATCTCTACCCGTTGGTATTTCCGAGTGTCGAAATCTAACGACCCTCGATCTCTCACAGAACCTCCTTGTTGGGTCTTTGCCTCACTCCCTCGCCACGATTCCCTCACTCCAAAAGCTAATCCTTTTCGAGAATAACTTCTCCGGCGAGATTCCCGCGAGTTTCGGACAATTTCAACGGCTCGAGTATCTAAATTTGGCGGAAAATCTCCTCGACGGAACCATTCCTGCTGTCCTTGGAAACATTTCGACTCTCAAAGAGTTGGACCTTGCTTATAACCCCTTTTTTCCTACTCATATTCCGAGTGTACTCGGTAATTTAACAAATCTCGAGCAGCTTTTTCTCGCGGGTTGTAATATTGTCGGCCAAATTCCCTCGAGTTTCGGCCGGTTGGTTCACATTCAAAACCTTGATTTGTCCTTGAATCGGCTCACTGGGTCGATTCCTAGTTCAATTTCGGAGTTGAAAAGCATTGAGCAAATTGAGTTGTATAACAACTCTCTATCCGGGGAGTTGCCGTTAAAAATGGGGAATTTAACTACGTTGAAGCGGTTCGACGCGTCCATGAATGAGTTAACCGGCGCAATTCCGGCTGGCTTATGCGGATTACAGCTTGAGTCATTGAATCTTTATTACAACAGGCTTGAAGGGACTTTACCGGAGAGCATAGCTATGTCGGAAACGTTGCACGAACTGAAATTGTTCAACAACAAACTCAGCGGATCACTGCCGAGTCAACTTGGTGCAAACTCGCCATTACAAAGTTTGGATTTGTCTTATAATCGGTTTTCTGGAGAAATTCCAGAGAACTTGTGCGGAAAAGGGCAGCTAGAGGACATCATTTTGATTTACAATTCATTCTCAGGCAAAATTCCAGAAAGTCTAGGCAGATGCACTAGTTTAGACCGGGTCCGGTTGAAGCGCAATCGTTTCTCTGGTCAAATTCCAGACCAGTTTTGGGGACTACCCAAAGTATTTTTGCTCGAGCTTGCTGAAAATTCCTTTTGTGGGGAAATTCCAAAGACGATTTCAAGTGCTCATAATCTCTCTATTCTGTTAATTTCCAACAACCGACTCGCCGGATCATTGCCGGATGAAATCGGGTCATTGGAGGCACTAGTAGAGTTGTCTGCTAGTGGAAACGGGTTCACGGGTCAGGTTCCTAGATCTTTGGTGAACTTGAGCAACTTGGTTAAGCTCGATCTTAGTGAAAATAAGATCGATGGAACGATACCCAAAGGATTTAAGGGGCTGAAGAACTTGAATGAGTTAAATTTGGCTAACAATAGGCTATCTGGGAGTATTCCTAGTGATATTGGTAGCTTGCCTGTACTTAATTATCTTGATCTTTCAAGTAATTCATTTTCTGGGGAAGTTCCAATAGAGTTGCAGAATTTAAAACTGAATGTGCTTAATCTGTCGAATAATCAGCTTTCAGGAGAGATCCCCCCTCTTTATGCCAAGGAAATTTACCGGAACAGCTTCGTCGGGAATCCCGGATTGCATGGTGACTTGGATGGTCTTTGTCCAAAGATAAGTCGATCTAAGAATGAGAACTCTACGTGGATTCTTACCTCCATTTTTATACTTGCTGGCCTGGTTTTTGTTCTAGGGGTTGTTTGGTTCTTCATGAAGTACCGGAGTTTCAAAAAGATCAAGAAAAGAGTTACTGTAACAAAGTGGAGATCATTTCATAAGATCGGTTTTAGTGAGTACGAGATTGCTGGTTGCCTCAAGGAAGAGAATGTGATAGGAAGGGGAGCTTCCGGAAAAGTTTACAAAGTTCTGCTTAGTAATGGTGACGCAGTGGCTGTGAAGAAAATCAGTGGAGGAGTTAAGAAAGGGGATTCCTTGAGTGCTGCTGATATAGAGAGGGACGAGTTTGAAACTGAAGTCGAAACGCTGGGAAAAATCCGACACAAAAATATTGTGAGACTGTGGTGTTGTTGCAATGCTGGAGATGGACAGCTTTTAGTTTATGAGTACATGCCAAATGGGAGCTTGGGGGATTTGTTGCATAGCAGCAAGGGGGGATTGTTAGATTGGCCTACTAGGTACAAGATTGCTTTAGATGCAGCTGACGGATTATCCTATTTGCATCATGATTGTGTTCCTCCGATTGTTCATCGGGATGTGAAGTCAAACAACATATTGTTAGATGGAGAATTCAGTGCCAGAGTTGCAGATTTCGGAGTTGCAAAGATTGTTAAAAGAGTTGGCAAAGCTGCAGAATCCATGTCTGTGATTACAGGCTCCTATGGTTACATTGCACCAGGTTTGTTCCTTGTTGCTTTTGTTGATTGGTTATTTGTTCCTTGATGCTTTGTTTATTCATTTTTTCATTCGTATGCAGAATATGCATATACCCTAAGAGTGAACGAGAAGAGTGACATCTACAGTTTCGGGATTGTCATCTTCGAGCTGGTTACTGGTAAAACCCCGACGGATCCAGAATTCGGGGAGAAAGACATGGTGAAATGGGTCTGCTCTACCTACAACCAAAAGGGTGTGGAGCAAGTAATTGACCCCAGACTAGACTCTACCTACAAGGAACAAATTTGCAGGGTACTCGATATTGGTATCCTATGCACTAACACTCTCCCAATTAACCGCCCTTCGATGCGGAAGGTGGTCAAATTGCTGCAAGAGGCCGGCGGAGAGGACAAGTTCACAGCCAATAAGGATGGAAAGCTCTCCCCATATTACTGCTACGACGAGGAAGCCTCTGATCAAGCTAGTATAGTATAGTTCAATTAGTTGAATCTAGTAGTGGATCGCACTAAAATTTAAGTTTCCTCGTGCTGAAGGGTTTCATGGGGGAGAGGGAATGATGCAGTGACAAGAGAGGTGCCCTCTTCCGAAAGTAAACAATACCAAGTAGTTTAGTGTTAGACCCACCAGCGAGACATTGGACAATTGTAAAATATTTGTTTTTGGCAGCAATGGTTTCGAATAATATCAGATGAGTACAGCTCTGCTGGTGGACTGAGGATATCGGGTAGCAGATGCTGGAGTGGTCCGTTGATCGACGTTGCTGCCCTTCATAAGTGAATTGGGCCCTTTTGTCTCTCTCAATGTCTCCTTCATGGCTGTGGTTCCTATAAGGAAATGATAGGGTGCCTTTTGATTGTATACGTTTGTAATGAATGATTATGGACCTAAGCAAGGCATCTATTTCTGTCTAGGATTGTTTGGGGTAGCAAAAAAGTCTGTTGTTGAGAGTGACAGTGCCTGGACTTATGAGTTTTTGTAGGTGTGTTCTCATTTACTAGCTCAATCAATGGAAAAAGTAGCTAAAAAGTAGCTCATTTAATTCCAGCCAAACTTCCATGATCCTGGTGATGGATAGGTTAAATTTTTTTCATTAAATTAAGCATAATTACAATTTTTAAAGAAAGAAAAACAAGTTCAATAAATATGGGATAGTTTAGTAATCCTACCTAATTCTCACCCGGTGCTGATAAGAGCCTCTTTCTCCCCTAAATTCATGCAGACATTTGAGCTGAATGAATTGCAGATTGTTGACGAGATTTTATTAATTTGGGCACCTTGCCTGAATCTGATTATAGGCTATGCTCCCTCAATTATCCAGGCCAGATTCTCCCACATCAAGTTTTTGGCTTTTGCATGTTTATATTTATGCATGCATGATATGCCTCATAATATGGGTCTATCATGTATTTATTGGTAGATCGAGTTACTTTAGGGTTAAGTTTATACAAGATTTTAATACATTCCATATTAAATGGTGAGTAATGTGAAGAGCAATGAGGGGAAGCAGTGGGTAGTGCCTGAGGCTGATTGGGTTAAGATTAATTATGAAGCGGCTTTTTTACAAAAAAGGAACGGAAAGAGGGACAATTGGTGAAGTAATAAGAGATTCTGAAACAAAGCTTAAAGCTGCGGTAAAGGTTGCTCTCCGGGCTTGTTGATGGAACAAGTAGGTTAAATCAACCGTTGGCAGTTTTTTCTTTCTAGTTTGAACGAAGAGCGATAGCCGGTGATCGATTGATATTGGCCGGATTTGTAAAGATTATAAATATGGAGGCAAGGTACCAGAGGAGTTACTCTAGGGTGGAAGAAGTGAATAGTCGAAGTACCCTTTCTTGTTTATTATTGGGGTTTATATTTTGCTTGTTTGATTGTTATGTATAGGTCAACAGGTCTATAACTGCATCCGCCCATTAGAAGATTTAGTCACGATAAATCTCTCGAGTTTATTAAAGGTCTTTCCAAGAGTCTCGTCCAAGACTCTTTCCCTCTGGTGAATCCCTCCAGAGGTGATTTTAATAGGTGGAGATTTATATTACCGGAGGTGAGGTTGTGTCTTCAAAGGTATAACTAGACCGAAACCAAAAAATAGTGAAACTGCATCATCAGTTTTTCACCTAGTTCAAAATCATAGGGAATGGATTTGCTGGTAAGTCCCAATACAAACACACAAAGGTTCATACTTTCCATCTACAGGAATCATGCAGCATGAACTAAAAAGGGGAAAACTAAAAACATAATTCGACAAGAGACAAAATCCTGTTCAGGACTTTGCATAATCAAATGACAAGTTCAACTAAAGATTGCAAAGTCCAATGCCCACATTTTTTTCTGCTGCAAACAGTCTAAGGAGCAATTATTGAAGTTTCAATTATATATGCTTATATTGGCATTCACTAGAAAAATGGATAATTTCTATACCCGATTGCCAAATTTCAGTAGTGTACATACATATTCGGTCCAAAACTTACCAGGCTAATTGCTGTTCTTCTTCTTTCTGAAAACATAAACATCGGTCTCCTCATAAGCGTAATCAGGGTGCAAATCCTGATGCGGGACCTTGTCGATCACGAAAACATTTTCACACATTTCCCAGAACAGTTGATCGGCTTCCGGTGATCTCAACTGGTACCCTAACAGAACCGCCCCATCGTCGGCAACTAAAGCCTCCATAGCCCCCACTAAATGTCCCACCGATTCCTCGATGTAGACTACATCGGCCGCGATCACCAAATCGAACGGAGGATTAGCGGTCCTGATCTGATCCTTGTTGTTCCAATAAAGAACCGACGTCTTCAGGTTCTTCCCCAGAATGGGTTTGTTGCGTTTGAGGTTGTGTTTGAGGGCGGGCATGACTGGGGATATGTCGGTGAGGATGATGTCCTGGAGACCCAGTAGGTGGAAGGCCATGCCGGCGGCTCCACATCCGGTTCCTAGCTCGATGGCACGACGGCGGAAGCTGTGGAAATCGAGGAGTTCGGAATAAGGGTTATTAGCGCCGGTCGTAGCGGGCGACGGCGGTGCCCAGCGCTCCACGAATTTGGCGAGGACTAGCGAACAAGGCCAGACGGAGGTGCCCACGTGGAAGGAGCCATTGTCTTGTTGGATAGAGAGATGGGAATCGCGCACTTGAAGCTCTATAACCGGTGAGTCCGTGAATTTCATTTCGGCTTCTTTCTCTGCTTCAAATTCTCAGCCGAGTTAACTCGAAGCTCTGGATTTACTGTTTTAATGTGAATTCTTTGAAAGGGCTTGGCATGTTTTCGACCCAATGAGATAATTGGGCTCAATCTCCACAATTTTCTTTATTGGTCAAAATATGCTGTCAGTCCTTGTACTTAGTAAAGCTGAGATTTAGCTATTGTACTTTAAAAAATTAAAAAATAAATTACCGTACTTTGACATCAACAGAATCAACTCCTTTTCTTTTAGCTGCCTTTTGTAAAACTTGTAAAAGAAGAAAGAAAGAAAAAGCAGAGATGAGGAAGAAGAAGATTATTTGATAGGGGGAAAGGTTAATACTAATGGCATAAAATAAAAGATCAAAAGTGTTAGCTTTAACTTACCTTAGTTAGCCTACAAAAAGTGTTCGGTTGCTTCTGTTGGGAAATAAACCGAGTACAAGTAATTTTCCTATAACCAGATTAGTGAGAATGCGAAATAAAAGCGGAAAAATAATACCCGAAATTGATAACGGAGTTCAGCCAAACTTGCTTACATCTCCGGACTGCTGCAGATCTTTTACTAAGAGAGAAAATTTACAGGTGTTTACAAAACACTCACTACTCACAAGAAAACTCTCTAGTAATGGGAGAAAGAAATGATTTTTAGGATTTTGGGATGATTTTGAAACTAAATTGGCTAGGGTATTTATAATTGAAGCTTATGGACTAATCTTTGAAAATACCCTAAAGTGCAATGACTAAAATGTAATTAATCATTGCTTAAATTCAAGAAAAATTGGTTGCCTAACTTTGACAAAATTAACAGCCCCATTTATCTGCCGCCCCATTGAATTCCATTGCCAGCCGCCCACTTTGACTTTACAATCTCCCATTTGAAGACCGGTTTTAATCTGTCTTCACACCTTGATCAATGCAACATCATTTCTGGTCTTGTTATTCTAGCATGCCAACTGAAGCTGAATACAACTTCAGTTTGTCCGTAGTCACTGTCTTTGTTAACATGTCTGTCGGATTTTGAGCTCCACTGATATTTTCAAGTTTTAAAATCCCATTTTCCAGAAGAGACCGGATAAAATGATATCGTAATTGTATATGCTTCGTCCTGGAATGAAAAGACGGATTCTTCGCTAGATGAATAACACTTTGACTGTCGCAATACAAGACATTGTTTTCTTATTTCTTGCTTAACTCTTCCAAGAAACTTTGGAGCCAAACCATCTCCTTGCTGGCTTTCGTAACAGCGACATATTCTGCTTCAGTTGTGGAGATAGCAACTATCTTCTGTAGTTGAGAAACCCAACTCACTGCAGTTCCTCCTAGAGTATAGACATACCATGTAGTACTTCTTCTGATGTCGATATTTCCGGCTAAGTCAACATCTACATAGCCTGTCAGTATCGTATCTCCACCTTTGAAATAAAATGTTTTGTTTGTGGTACCTCACAGATATCTGAGGATCCATTTGACTGCTTCCCAGTGTATCTTGCCCGGATTATTCGTGTACCTGCAAACAGCTCCCACTGCATGAGCAATATCTGGTCTGGTACAAACCATGACATACATCAGACTTCCAATTGCTGAGGCATACGACACTTTCACCATGTGTGTACGTTCTTCCTCCGTCTTTGGTGACTGTTCTTTGGAGAGTCTAAAATGAACACCTAAAGGTGTATTTATTGGTTTAGCATCTTGCATGTTGAACCTGGAGAGTACTTTGTTGATGTACTCAGCCTGTGATAACATCAAAGTCCCTGACTTTGTGTCTCTCTTGATCCTATTGTTTGCGCAGAAATCTCTGAATCTCCTATTTATGTACTCTCCTCCATTGTCAGACCTCAACCGCTTGACTTTCAGAACAGTCTCATTTTCCACCATGGCCTTCCATTTTCTGAAGGTATCAAAAACTTCCGATTTCTTCTTCAGAAAATAAACTCACACCTTCCTTGTAGAATCATCGATGAAGGTGACATAATATAATGTGCCTGCAAGAGATGGAACTGGAGATGGTCCCCATACATCAGTATGGACCAACTCTAACTTTTCAGCCTTGGGTGTCTTACCAATCTTTGCAAATATGACTTTCTTTTGTTTGCCAAATATGCAATCCTCGCATAGTCCGACATCTACATTCTTTAGATCCGGCATCTTCCCTTTTGACAAAAGTGTCTTCATCCCTTTCTCGCTCATATGACCAAACCTTTGGTGCCATAGGTTTGATTTTCCATCAGCATTTGCTGTAATAATGATATTTTCTAAATTTGAGGTTACATAGAGAGTACCGGTCTTCTTACTACGAGCAATGACGAGTGCTCCTTTGGTAATCTTCCATTCACAGCCTGAAAAGGTTGTACTATAACCTTCTCCATCAAGCTGTCCTACAGAAATCAGATTTCTTTTGAGGCCAGAAATATGTCTCACTCGTGTCAGCTTCCAGGTGGTCTGGTTTGGCAGCTTTAGTCGAATGTCTCATTTTCCAACGATCTTCAAGGTTTCATCGTCAGCTAGATGAACCTTCCCAAAATCACCACTGACATAGTTATCCATGATTTCTCGGCATGGGGTGGAGTGGAAAGATGCCCCTGAATCCAAGATCCATGATTCAATCAGACTGTTGACGCTTAGAATCATGGCGTCACCTGTCTCCTCTGTCATGTTTGCAGATTCTTGTGCGCCGGTATCTTTCTTTAGTGCTCGGAAATCTCTTTTAAAGTGACCCTTCTTGCCACAATTATAACAGATAAAATCTTTCTTTCCCGTTCTTGATTTTCCCCTTATGGATTTGGATCTGCCACGATTTGAATTTCTTTATGAAGTTCTCCCTCTAGACTCCGTGTGCAAGGCTGAGGAGGTTGATGCTTCACCCGATTCTCTCCGTCGAATTTTAATTTGTTGTTTCTCGACGAGCTGATGACTGTTATAAAAGTAGCATTCCAACTATCTGGTAGAGATGATAAGAGAATTAAAGCTCAAACTTCATCATCGAATTTAGTTTCCACTGAACTCAACTGGGTTGTGATTGTGTTGAGTTCATTTAGGTGTTGTGCATGCCCCTTCCGCCATCCGCAAATTGAATAATCGCCTCATCAAATGAACTTTGTTTGAGGCCGATGGCTTCTCATACATACTGGAGAAAGCCGCCATAAGACCCGCCGTGGTCTTTTCCTTTGCTATGTTGAAAATAACATTGCGGGATAATGTCAGTCGAATAACTCCGAGGGCTTGTCTGTCGAGAAAAGCACAGTCTTCATTCTTCATGCCCTCTGGTTGTTTTCCTGAGAGGGGTTGATATAGATTTTTCTGGTACAGAAAATCTTCGATCTGCATCTTCCAAAAGCCAAAGTCCGCACCATCGAACTTTTCAATTTTCACCTTCCCTTTGTTTGCAGCCATCGCTCCCACTCGAATCTGGTTTCGTTTGGATCGTTTCTGACAATTCTTGCGAACCATCGTGTATTAGAACACCCCCGTCGATAAATTCGTATCGCCGAAATTTTTTTACTCTTCACGAAATTCACTATTCACATGAATAGTAATGAATAGTAACCTCGCAAAAAATTGAAAAAAATCACAACCAAAAGCTCTGATTAACAGTTGTTGGGAAATAAACCGAGTATAAGTAATTTCCTTATAACCAGATTAGTGAGAATGCGAAATAAAAGCGGAAAAATAATACCCGAAATTGATAAAGGAGTTCAACCAAACTTGCTTACGTCTCCGTACTGCTACAGATCTTTTACTAAGAAAGAAAATTTACAGGTGTTTACAAAACACTCACTACTCACAAGAAAGCTCTCTAGTAATGGGAGAAAGAAATTATTTTTAGAATTTTGGGATGATTTTGAAGTTAAATGGGCTATGGTATTTATAGTTGAAGCTTAGGGACTAATATTTGAAAATACCCTAAAGTGTAATAACTAAAATGTAATTAATCATTGCTTAAATTCAAGAAAAATGGCATGCCTAACTTTGACAAAATTAACAACCCCATTTGTCTGCCGCCCCATTGAATTCCCTTGCCAGCCGCCCACTTTGACTTTACAACTTCATTATCTTGTTCTATTGCAGTAAACATATATATCAATGAGATTAACATTCAAAATTAAGCCTGATTTAGAAGTTAGCTGAGGATCAAGATGCCTTTTGTTATCTTCCATGCTAGTACTATATTTCTTTTACTTTTGTACCTATGAAATATTAATGACAATGATCCTCTTTTTATGAAATAATGTAGAAATTGAGAGTCAGCTCGACAATGAAGGTTCATATTGTTTCTCTTATTGGATGCAAAAAGTTGTTATTGAGTACAGGAGAGAAAAGAATAAAGTCTAAAGGCATTACATGGTCATGAAAGTGAGACTTTCATTAGAGTATCTATATATTTAGGTCAATAATTCCAGGACCTAATTTTCTCAACCTCAAACAACTTAGTAAAACCATGAAGAAAAAAGGAAAATGAAAAAGCTCTAGCATTCATGGCCTTTAGTTGTTTTACATCGAAGGAATTTGAAGTTATCGAGAGTTCAATATAGTCGCGTCACTCTTACGAGTGTGTATCAGTAAGTTAAAGTTCGGAATTCAATATCTATAAACTATTTACCAAGTACAAATGAAAATGTGAGCACTAGAGGTCAAAATATGGGGCCTGCAATACTGTATTATCAAGTATATCACAAATAAGACACAAAGTAAAACTCTTATCCATTTTCCACTTGTGTTTCCCATGTCTTTACTTGTGACTGACCCCATTGTTATTGAGAACAGGAGAGAAAAGAGTAAAGTCTAAAGGCATTACATAATCATGAAAGTGGGACTTTCATGAGAGAGAGAGTATATATATATAGGCCAATAATTCCATACCTTTTTTTTCTCAACCTCAAGCAACATAGTAAAACCATGAAGAAAGAAAGGGAAATGAAAAAGCTCGTGCATTCATGGCCTTTAGTTGTCGTATATAGAAAGAGTTCGAAGTCACCTGGAACTCACTGCTGTCGAAGTCGCTCTTACGGGTATGTATCAATAGGTTAAAGTTGGAATTTCAGTATCTATAAAATATTTACAAGTTAAAATTGAAAATGTGAGTAGTAGGGGTCAAAATATGGGGCCTGCAATACTGCATTATCAAGTATCAGTATCCTGTTTGAATCACAGATAAGCCACAAAGTAAAACTCTTATCCATTGTCCACTTGTGTTTCGCATGTCTTTACTTGTGACCGACCCCATTGTATCTTTGGCATTGAAGAAAAAAAGGCAGAGAAGTGACAATTTTTTTCTTTTTCCCTTACACATTTTACCTATGCATGAATATGACTTTGTCCCAAGCTCAGTTTGGTACCGGGGATAACATTGATGCTTTGATTCTCTGAATTTTGTTTGTTATAGTGCTAATCTTGTTAAGGTACAACTATGTATATACATGGTTTGGTGAAGGGAATAGCTACCTTATATTTTGTATATTCTTCGAATATCTTTCGAAAGTCACACATATACTACAATTCTCTTTTCTCTCGAACTTGAAGCTTTCATAGTTCTTCGAAATGTCCAAAACTCCATATCCTCTAATCAATGATTGACGTGACCATTGACAAGATGATGTAATTTACTAGTTAAATTTATTATCCGACAGTTAAATCTACTTATTATGTCAACTTACAAATAGTCATCTTCACCTTAATCATAATACCAACATTAAGGGTTGTGTAAAAATACAAGATCGGAGAAAGAGGAGCTCGCAATCTTTCTATCAAATTCTTTAACTCATCCTTCCCTCTTTCTTTCCATCTGTCATCATTTCCATATCGCCATAAAAAAATGAACACTTAAAAATCACTACAATCTTATTTCTCTTATAAACGTTATATTATTTCAACTAATAGTTGAAAGTTTGCTTTGTAAATAGCTAGAATAATCAAAGCTTTTTTTATTTTATGGATATGTAAATATTTTTTAATCTAGCATGACAGGACAACAACCACAATAGAGATGAAACAATTAATGCAATAATGGAGCTCCAAAAGGGTTCGTTTTCGCTTTGTTCCCACTACTTCACATCCCCCCTTATCAAAGTTAAAAAGCCTTAATTTTTTAAAAGGGATGAGTTGGCTTTCAAAGGTTGAAGAGAATATGCATGGATCTCATCCTTCATCTATTCAGTAGGTTCTTTCTCTAGTAACACTTTTCTTCCCTGCAAAGTCATTAAATTTCATGTGCCAAATATCATTTCCATCCATTGATTGAAGATGGGTGACAAATGCCCTTTACTCCAACACCTAAAAAATCTCTTGTTTCTCCTCCTCCTCCGCCGTCTTCATTCTGCATACGCCGGCGTTTCACGGGGTAAATTTGCAATTGGTTCAAAGTGGAAATATCGTCTGCTGAGTTTACTAAATCTCTTCCTTGGGTTGTCGTTGTTGGCGTGTTTGAAACATACAGATCACTGTACTTGTTCCCATCTTGAACTAGACTGTTGCTACACTTTGTCCCGAAGCTTCCTAGGAATGCCGTGTCGGTCGATGTTGCACCCATTTGGGCAGCTTTCTGCAACAAATCTGTGGCAGACATACTGAAAACTGGTGTTTGATGAGACTGGTGTTGGGTGCTGAACAATGAAGGAACAATCACAAACTGAGGTCCATTTTCCTTGACATTACTCAAAGGAAGTGAAGTGCATTTTAGCAGATGATCTTCAGCATTACTCGGTGGCACCTTGTTTCCGAACACCCAGTTTAGCTGATAATCCGATACAGGAGGATTCGATATCGAAACCATCGGATCTCCATATATCAATCCCGGATTCAAAGAACCAAATGAGTCATGGCCCTGAGATGCTTGCCCCGTCCACAAGGAAAATCCAGGTTTAGTTTGGTCTACTGCTTCATAATTGCTTGAAATTGGTTTGAAAACAGTGGAGAAATGTTGTGGGATCCCTGTATCTAGTGGATTCCCCCTAAGTTGGTAATTGAAATTATCGGCGGCCAAGCTATGCATGCCGGAACCTGCATTTACTCTAGCTGTTTCCTCGGCCAAGGCATCACAGAAATCCCTATGCGTGATGAAACTATCTCTTCTGCATAAAGAAAAGTATGCAATCCATGTATCAAATAGGGTATGTCTTACACAAAGATCACTAGTGGATTACCTTGAGAATAGGGTACCACAGTCGCATTTGTACTCCCTGGTGCCGCAGGTTTTCGAGTGAGCTTTCCAATCAGAATGCACAGCGTATCGCTTGGAGCACTTCCACTTCTTCTCCCCATGCTTCCTATAAAAGTGCTTCTTTATGCCGGTTAAATCCCCAAGAGCCCTCGAAGGATGGTGATGGACGCAGGTCTTTTCGGGGCAAACATACACGCGCTTCCTCACTTCTTTCGTCGTCCTTTGCTTCAGCTTCCATGGGAGGTTATGGCCTCGTCGATGGAGTTGAAGGTTTTGTTCTCTTTGGAAACCCTTGCCGCATATTTCGCACAAGAATCTGTTGGTTGCCATCAGAGTCTTCGGGGACAAGGCTATCACTTCAGCTTCAGGATCTGGTATCAAACATAAAATAAATAAACCATGAAGATGATCCTCATAATAGAAAATTACACAGGATACTTGCCTGGTTTTCCTGGAAGGTTTCTCTTCTTCTTTGCAACAACAGCAGGAGGATTGGATCCAGTTACAGGGTTCATGATAAAACCATTTGAAATCGATTCTTCTGTCGAAACCCCCCCCCCAGAAAAACTAAGATAAGTCAACCAAAATGAACTATATATGTATCTCTCTCTCTCTCTCTCTATATATATATATATATATATATATATATATATATTAATGTGTGACTAAGAGAAACCCTTCCAGGTTTTCTCAATCCTAACTACATAAGCTGATATATGCAAAGGAATGAACCTCTTCTCTCTCTCTCTCTCTCTCTCTCTCAAATATGCAGTACTGATTTAATTATAATTACTTGCTTTTGAGTGGAATATAGCACTAATATATATATATATATGTGTGTGTTTGTATATTTTTAATGAGAGGCGGTGAAAAGTTAAAGTTATGATGAGGTCCTAAGAAAGCTAATCTCCATGCTTTTCCATTTGAAATCATTATCGCATAATTTGTTTGCTTTTTGTTTTTTTTATCATCTTTCTGATCTATGCTGCCTTCCAGTCTGCAATTCTTTAATTCCCTTCTATATATGTAATAAAAACGTCCTACCGTATTTATATGCAATTTCATATATTCCGAAAAACCGAGCTTGAAGAAATGTTCGAAGAGTACACGACTCGTGGACCAACAATGTACTATAAATTTTTTAGGTCTTAGCATATAACTGAATATCGACTTTGATGCTGAGACGAATCGTGCCATACAATAAATAATAATATCATTTTTTTATCGAATTTGAAAAAAAAATTATTATATACATTAGATTGAGATGGAAGGAGCCCTAGGGTAATCTAACATGCAAAGAGATTAACTTAAAGCAATAATGAACGAAAGAAGTGTCCCTAAATGCATGAGTGTGACATGCAAAGAGGAGATGTCAAACTTGTCATCAAACACTTTTATTTGTTCCTCGTCTTCCACGAAACTAAAATAAACATCTTATTCGGTCTTTCGATTTAGCTAAAAATGGCTTAGTTTTAGGGTTACTTCAATTATTGATGGCTGAAATGAAATCATGAATAGGAAGTGGTTGTTTTTGTTACTAGAATATTAGTTTTAGGGTTTCAGCAGTCTGTGTATCTTTGCTTTTCATTTGGTGGAATTTTAGTTCAAATTCTTAGGTCTCTTTTGGACTGTGAATGTATACTGCATGCACTTAATTTGGTACGAAGAAAGTATTTTTGTTGTATACCCTATAAACCAGGATTTTGGCTTTATTAGCAATGTTCCAGCCTTTGCTTCCCGTGCAAGATCGGATCCAAAATCATTAATCACACGATCATTACCCATTCCTCAAAATACATGTTTGATAAAATATACAACGTCATGCTTCCATTGTAGGATTAAAGTTTCTCGTCTTTCTCATACATCATTTTTCCCACTAAATTTTATGATATGTTATCGTCACAGTTATTCATCCTGTCTATCACATCTATTGAGATATTTGACATAAAAATAATAGTTATAGGGTCACTCTGACACCACTTATCAAAATATCATTATCTTTTTTTAAAAACACATTTGATACAATACCACGGCTTTAAAATTCTATGACCTCCTTTTTCTTTTTTGATGTGAGAATAATGTCATTTATCTCTTCAAGACGTGACATTATTTTTATTTAACCATTTAAACCTTAAAATTAAGACTGAAAAGCGCATAATCATTAGAAATAACTCTTGACATTTAACTTTTAAAATAACTCTTAAAGTTGTTATGTTACGTTAATAAAAATATTGATAATTAATTAATCATCAATTAATTATAAAAATTTATCCAAAAAATTAGAATATTAAAATTTAATTTCTCAAATAAATAAGAATAAGAATGTGACAATGATATTATCTATGAAATATAAATAATCAGACGAATGTTATGTTATTATTGGCTGACATTGATGTTGTTTTTAGCTGTTATATTTTTGGGCAAACTCAGAAACATTTAATAGTTTAGGTACCAAAATAGTAAACATGGATTAAATTGGGTATTAACCCTAGTTAAAATACAGGCATGTATAAGAAGGTTTCGGGTGAAAGACAGGACAGTGAATATTTGGAAGTGTGGGCAGTGGTGAAGTCTTGATCTGCTTTTGATTATCATAATTGTGCAATCATGTTATGGCAATGCATCCTGTCTGTGGTTGTTTAGCATAAAAGTTTTTGGAGTTTAGCTCCTTCTCCAACACCCATTTTTATGTCTGTTAGATTCCCTGTCTGATCTCTCGGTTTCTGCTTCTAATTTTAAAAAGAAAAAATTAACCTCACAGATTTATGCATGGTTTTCAGAACTGGTCCGATTAGCGAATCGGTCATGCTATCGGTTTACTGGTTCAACTGGTCGAATCGGTCCGACCGGTCGGAAGAAACGAACGACGTCATAATTATTTAAAAAGTTAAATAAAAATACCAAAAATATTTAATAAAAAATAATTTTTTATATCACAATTTATATTCAAAGCATGTCATAACATATATAAGTTAAAAACCATAAAATTAAGTGAAACAAAATGATTCAAATTAACTACAACATAATATTTAAGGTAAAACATATTAAATATTAAATATAATTATATAACTATAATTAAAAAAATAAATTTGAGGCTAAAAAATCATAACAAAATAATATTGTTTGGTTTAATTTTTTTTTAAAAACAATCTCACATGGCTAAGAAACATAGAAGAGCATCCCAAAAGTCTAAAGAGTAAAAATATGAGAACAAAACAATCACACATGGCTAAGAAACATAGAAGAGCATCTCAACTAACTTTTATAAATAATAGAGGTAATTTGACATTCAAAATCATGGAGTTTTTTTGTGAGCATTGAGTGAACTATTCTTTCACTTCAATCAAGCTCGAATTTTAGGCTTCAATCGAGCTTCTAATTTTTTTTTTTGAGTTCAAGCCTTTTCGAGTTCAAGTTTCAATATTATATTTCGAGTTCGAGTTGAACTTAATAATTTTTAGCTCGTAAGTTTGAGTCGAGTTGAGCTTACTTTTAAAGTTTTCAAGTTCGAGTCGAACTCAGCAATACTCGAGTTCGACTTGGCTCGTTTAACAAACGACGTCGTTTGGTTTAATTTAAAAAAAAATTTGGCGGTTTTTTATGGTTTTCATTCGGTCCGGTTCGAACGGTTCAGCAGTTCCGGCCGGTTCACTAGTAACGGTTCAACCGGTGTAGATTGAACTGGACTACGCAACGATTCCCGATTGAACCGGACTAGGCAACGATTCCCGATTGAACCGATTGAACCGATCGGTCCGGTCTGATTTTCAAAACACTAGATTTACGTTAATTAATTACATGTTTGTGTTACAAACGTTGTAAATGGATGGAAGAGTTTGGGGAAGACCAAATTGTTGTTGTAACCAAGGCAAGACCATGTTTGTCTCTTTGTTTTTTTACTTTGAAAATCAAGGTGGGAGTACTACTAATTATTGTCTTAATATTAGTATGGAGTTAGAGTTTCGTGAATGAAAAAAAAAAATATTAAGTGATAAGAATACGGATAGACATTTTATTCGTATTTGACGAGGTGTTTTGTAGAGTTTTTATAAGATAAGATAATGTTTAGATTTTGAGTGAAAAATATTTAATTAAAACTGATTCGAAAATAATAGTATAATTAATTTTTATATATTTAGAGATAATTGTTATAATATTACTATTTTATCTATATTTTTCAGTTAAGTCTCTATTTTACTTAATAAAAATGAGAATTATATAAATATATATACATATACATATATATATATATATATATATAAAGTCATATTTGGTCAGATGTGAGTTTTTATTTTATAAAACGAGTCAACTTGATATTTCTTAAATTTGAATATCGTTGGATGACAAATAAAAAAATATTATATTCGAATCGAATTTGAATGGATGAAATGTTACTATTTCTATACATGAATCATACTAGAATTAAATATTGGAATGAGTGGGATTATTTATTTTCAAATTTAACAGGAACCTTATAAGTATTTGAATTCAATAACTTGGGAGAAAAGGTTTATAGTAACAAATATTCAAACTAACGAAAATTTTAAAAAAATGTCATTCAACAAAAAAAAAGTTGAGAATAAAACTTAATTTAATAAAATATTCAAACTATATGTATTTTATTTTGGGTTAACTACACGGATAATCACTTATATTTGTGTTTTATTCACTTTTGGTCACTGATTTCAAAAAATATAAGATATGATCACTTTCGTTTTTATTTAATTAAGATACAGTCACTCTGAGTTAATTACCATTAATAATGGTTAAATATTTTTATATAATCACATATTTGATCCCTGATATTTACATATTCTTTCAATTTAATCATATTTTTAATAAATAAATTTAATCCTCCAATCGAATGAGATCACATGTCATACCACGTGTCACCATTAGGCTGGAGAACTAACTTTATTTTAATTTAATATATTTATTTTCATCAATCAAAGAGTGACATGTGTCACCTTTGGTTGAAAGAAAACAAAGGAAAGCAAATTGAGGCACAAAAGATTCAAACCTTGGTTACTTAGGAGACTAAACATGTATTCAACCATTAATCCAAGACCATTGCTTGGTCTAAAGTAGACAACATGGTATATATATTTTGTATCTTAATATATAAATACTTAAACTCATAATATTTATATATATTAACGTAAAAATATTTGTTATATTAACTTATTAAATATGTTTTATTATTAATTTAATTTAAAAATATTATATTTTTATTTTCATTTAAAAATAAATATTTTATGTTAAAATTTATTTAAAATATGAATAAATTGAGAGCATATTAATTAACATGGGTCAAATGTGTGATTATACCAACTATCACGTCACATATTCTATTAATTTTTAACAGCAATTAACCTACGATGACCACATCTTAATTAAATTAAAACGAAAGTGACCATATCTTAATTAAATAAAAATTAAAGTGATCATATCTTATTTTTTTTTTTAAATCGGTGATCAAAAGTGAACAAAACACAAAAATGATCATCCATGTAGATAACCCTTTATTTTTAAAACTGAAATTGATTTGACTCAATTTCAAACTTGACTCTTATTACCATTGAGATAGGGTCTCGTATCTAAAAGTTAATTCCACGATAAATGAATTGTTATTATTTTTGAGGACTTAAGTTTGAGCACCATAAATATCAAAGGTGTAAATGATCAATGTTGAAAGAGTGAAAGTTTTTCTTTGAACGTATATTACCATACATTTACCCAAATTAATAAAAAAAATTACATTACTTATTATTATTAATATATTTGATGTTATATTTATGATATATACAACAGGATCTTATTAAGTAATTAAGTTGAGTTTTTTGGAGGGTAATTAAGATTGCTATTTTTCTTCTTTTTACTTTTGAAAACCAATAAATAAAAGACACGTGTTAAGGAAGGGCAGATTTGGATCTAAGGAGCCGTTCATTACAGAATTACACATGCTTTGGCTTATAAAAAGTTGGAGAATATATATATACCTTTTCTCCCAAACACAGTTATCTTTAATCTTATTTATTTATTTGAATAATTTGTGGTACGTATGACACAACCTATATGGTCTCGTTACATTTAATCTAGCTTTTTATAACTCGTATTTAGGACATATATTATTTTATAATCACCTTAGCTTAATAAAAAAAATTGTAGCCCCGTATCATATATGAATATTCTAGTATATTAGTGACACTTACTTTATGTTATAATTTCAAATAACTGAAATAATTTTTCGAGTCTTTATATACCATATGGAGAGAGGAATATTTTTTAATAAAAAAGGGAGGAATATTTTCTTACATAATATAAAACTAAAAAATATTATAATAAATTTAAAATTATCAAATAAATATAAATTGATTATTGAAATTAAAGATTAGAAAAGAGAGATTTTTATGGAAAAATAAATAAATACTTATTATTTATTTTTTAATTAATCCGAGATAAGAACAATATAGTATCTATTTAAAGATAATTTTTCAATCATTTGACATTGAACGCTCATACTCTTGCCATTTATAGTGCTCGAACCTAGGACCTCAAAGAACAACAATTTCTTTACCACTGAAGTCGCTTAGTTCGTACTAATTTATACTAATTAAATGGTCCTAAATTAGTGTAATTTTTTATTTTACATTGTAAGTAGATCTTACTTTTATATATATATATATATATATATATATATATATATATAAGTTACATGGTCTAATACTTTTAATTTTTACAAGTTCTTTTTGGATTGTTAGATTAATTGAGTTTAATGATTGAGATTAAAATTTAAAAATAATTTCTAAATATCAACCCATTTTTTGTTTAGAGGAAAAATGTGAAGATTCATTTAAAAAAAATTTACATGAACAAATACTATTGGTTGGAACCAGAGATGATGTGATGAACCAGAACTATTTAATAATTTCTCGTTGAGTGGACCTATAGTTTGCATTCTTCTAAACAACACAAAATTTTTATCCATAAAAAAAACAATCACTCATGCAATTAATGTCATCTAAGAAGATCAAAGATTCTCTTTTTGGCTTTGTAAAGAAAACCTAAAGCTAGCATACTTGGGATGGGTAAGGCTCGAATCAGATTTTCGATCCAAATGAATACGATTCAAGTATTTTATCTCTTCATTAGTCATTTGATTTGATTTAAGTTTAGGAAGGTTTTATTTGATCTAAAATTTGATTTAATTTTTAAGGTAAAAACTTGTATTTGATCCAACTCAATACAAATATATATAATTCTCATTTTTATTAGATATAATAGGATCTAATTAAAAAATATATATAAAGAGAGATATTACTATTATTATCTCTAAATATATAAGAGATAATCATATTATTATCTTAGATCGAGTGGATCAGAGATCTTTTACCATAAATTTAAACCTGACCCTACAAGATTTACTCTTTGGAAAGAACCACCCCATCCGAATTCTAAATTTTTTAACACACCCCTTCACTCTCTCATATATAAAAAGACCACTTATCAACAATGATAAAATCAAAATTTTAAATTATGATATTAGAATTAAAGAAAATGGTTTTAATGTTCTTAAAATTTTATGTATCAACTAACGTTTCAATCATTTGTGTACCTCTCGTCTATGGCTATAAAACTTTGTTTTTTTGGAAAGATAATATAGGTAGGGACCAATCCATCCGTTTCATTTTTCTTTAATCAATAAATTATTAATAATGTTCCATGTACATGAATAAGAAAGTGAGTGCGTATGAGATAGAGCAAATAATATGTGGCTAAGCAAAAACTAATTAATAATATTTAAGTATTGAGAGCTTAAATCATGCTTATATTGAATTAAGTATTTGATTAAACAAGGCCGCCGTCAAACTTGTGGCACTTAAAAGTTCCCACTAATGACATTAAAGAAGGCATGATGTGTGTGGGATGATATTATTTGGTTGGGAAATTTGCTTACTCCACATACAACAATAATTGATTCAATCGTGTAATGGATTTGTAGATGGGACGATAGGATCGTCCAATGACAAGCGTAACATGTGATATGTTATAGGACTCCAAAATTTAGAGTGCCCTACACAGAAATGTCATTTAGGCTCGGTTATGTCTAACATTTGTGCTTTAACAACATTTTCGTTTAAATGGAAAAAAAATAAACTTTTCGTTTAGTTCTTGAAAAAATGGTAGAGAAAGTTATGAACGAAGATTTTGATAATATATTTAATCATTTTTCATGATGAATTTTGGTATAAAAAAAGACCTTGTAGATCCTTTATAATTTTAAATTTGATATATTAATCTTTATTATAAAAATATTTTAAGGACCTCATTTTAAAAAAAAATAGTACAAGACCTCCACATCATTTGGGACGGTCCTAGACTGTTTCATTCCATTCAAAGCCTCTTCCTTTCAAAGAATTCAAGCAACCAAAAAGAGGACCATCTTCCACTCACTCTACCACCACCAATTGTATCAAATGGAAGAAAAGCATGCACTAATCAATAATTAAAAAGGTAATTTGGTGGAAAAAGTTATTGATCTTTGTTATATCTATCATGCCATATATGTAGTACAAGAATGATTAAGATAATTAATTGTGTTGGTTAATATCTCCTTTGTTATAGAATTTCGTTTCACAAGTTATATTAATTTAATTTTAAGAATGAAACGTAGAGGTTATAGTCGGAATCAATTTTCGACTGTCTTCTTTCTTTCTCGAGTGATTTTCTGGGTTTATTTTAATTTAAAACAATTCAAGAGAACAGTACGAACTCATCCCCGTAGAAAGTTATTATTATATCAGGACTAAAAGAGGAAATAAGTTATTTTTAAGATAATATCTTCGACAAGTCTTGCTTTACATTGAGGATGAGATTCAAACACATCCAAATATTAGGGACTGATATTTAAGATTTGTAAGTTGTTTCGATGAACACTTAAAGAGAATAATCTTATCATTTGTACTTGAGAGGGTAAACACATCTATTTGATTTAATTGAGACACGAGTTATATAGCAATATATCCAAGAAGTGCAGTCCTTAAAGTGAACAATAATGAATGGTGTTATGAAGAGAATATTCATTATACAAGGAATAAATATAAAACTATGTATCTAATATATAATGTTATACATAGATATAATTTTTATTTTAAATTAATTGTATGTATAAAAGTTTAATTTTGATTCAATTATACGAATTTGTAAAATAAATTTAGAGTTAATTGTATTATATGTCCTCAAAATATGACCCTCATTCTAGATTGGTCCTCAAACTTTTAAACATTCTAATTTCATCCATAAACTATACCTCTTAATTTTGAACGTCCTAAGTTTATCCCCAAACTATTATTTTCATTTTAAATTGGCCCCTAAACTTTTGTATGATTCAATAGCATTCCTTAAATCACTTAAAAGGTTTGGGTAGAAATTAAAACATTCAAAATTTTAGGGACTAATATAGAATGAGGGTCATAGTTTGGGGATGAATTGGAATGCTCAAAAGTTTAGGGATCAATTTAAAATTAGAGTCATGGTCTAGGGATGAAATTATAATGTTTAAAAGTTTAATGTTCACTTTAGAATGAAAGACATAGTTTGAGGATGTTTAGTGGAATTAACTCATAAATCTATTTATTTTTTATATTAAATAAATATAACTATTTGTATATATAATATATAAGGGTAAAGTACACAAATGGTCTTCTGACTATAGGGCGATGTTCTGTTGAGTCTTCTGACTATTGAAAGTTATAAAATGGTCCTTTGACTATTAAGTGATGCTTTGTTGAGTCTCTGACTATTAAAAGTTACAAAATAGTCATTTGACTATTCATATGTTCCAAACTCATCATTTACTTTAAAAAATTAGCGGCTATATGTGCTAGACGTTAAATTGTTCACTATGATATGATAAAATTTGATCTCAATATTGTTTGAGTTGTATTTTGTAGATCCAGATTCTGTTTACATTATGTCATCAAGCTAGTGCTTAAAACATTATGTTGTCAAGCCAGTGCTTGAAAGCAATGGTTGTGCCAATAGACATCCATAAAATAATTTTTTTTATCATATACCAGTTAGCAAGTTAACGACCATCTCGAACAATCATCAATTTTTTAGTAGAAAAGGACGAGTTTTGAACATATAAATAGTCATGAGATCATTTATAACTTTTAATAGTCGAGGATTCCACAAAGCAAAACCCCATAATCGAGTGACTATTTTATAACTTTTAATAGTTGAAAGACTTAATAATATTATATAATTAGGGGATCATTTGTGTACTTTACCCTATATATAAAAATGTAAGGCTTCAGGGTCACAGTTGCCCCTGTATTAGACCAAATTTATCAATTTCACCCCTGTCGTATTTTCGCATCAATTTTGTCTCAAAGTTGTTTAATTTCATCAATGTCTACCTTTGACCGTTTTAACTAACAGAACCGTTAATTTATGCTTACGTGGACTCCAGCTATTTCCACCTAAGATAATTTTACTGACGTGTTAATAGGATGATGTGGTATAACAAAAAAATATTTTTTAAGTAAACAATAACAAAAAAATTTTTTGTATATGGAACGGGGAATTCCAACTATGTCTCCTTTGTTGAATGGATTTCTCCTCCGAAGGCAGCAGCTCCGTCACCTCCGGCGGCACAAACAACACCAGCTCCAGCTGGAGGTGTTGAAAACTGAATTTTATCAGATGAAATTATGTTTCCTGATTGCATTATAATTGAGGTAAACTCTACTAACCAATCTAAGAAATTATCCAAACTAATAAAACAACGTATATAAATTTAAAAATCACAAAACAAAATTATGATAGCTTAAAATAATACAATGCTTTGCAATGAGGAAAAAAATGGGTAGCTAAGGAACAAAGCAACAAACATAAATGCAAAAGCAAAAGTAACAACTTCAATATCAACACAAGTCGAAACAAGAAGAAGAGAAAATAGAAAGGTCTTGACAACCTAGACATCGGTTGGAAGATCCGTGCGGTGAAAAGGTTGAAATGGCAACAAGGAGCAACATAATGTGAAGATGGCTCCATTGGACGGTTGCTGGCGACTAAATGAAATATTTTGTTTCGAAAAAATCGATTGGTTTTCGCTAGATCTATGTTGATCGACGATGTATTCGAGTAATCAAAGGTTGGATTCATGATGAGGAGCACAATACGATTTTGTTGATGTATTTTTTGTCCCAAACGGTGGTCAACGACGAAGACCGACGCATTGGTCACCTGTATATAAAGGTGGTTGGTGCCTGACAATGGAGAACAAATGTGAAAAGCTTAGACAAGAAAGGAAATAAAGTGAAAAAAATATGGGGGGAGGAAACTTAAAATGGTATATATATTTGCTTCCAAAACTTAAATAAAATTAAAGTTCTATGTATACGTTTGAATAAAATTAAAATTCATGTATAACGTTACACATTTAATAAAAATGCATATATAACATTATATATTTAATAAAAAAATACGTACAATTTTGTTTTTGTTCAGAGTTGGATTCAAATAATTTTTTGAAGATGAATACTATATATTAACAATACAAAATTTCTAAACATGTGTATGCATCATATTTTACCAGACGAATAAAAAAATTGATTTTATACTTAAAAAATATTAGAAGTCGCCACCAATCCGTTTAAGGTGTGATTGGAAAACCAAAAAATTTAAGGTCTACAAAAACTAAAATTAGGTTCGGTGGCACGGTTATGTGTGAGGAAGGGTTAGCATCCTCACTACGCCCGTAAAAACGACGCTTACTTGACCACAAATATTTTATCTGGACTCATGTATGCAATTAATGTATTTATAGAATAATAAGGAATTTTTAAATTCTTGAGAATAACTTCAAATTCTCTAACAGCTAAGAGAATCAAAATTACAATCGAAAACTCTAAAAAATCCATAAATTAATATGTGTAAAATTTCGATGGCGAAGTCTTTCATAGGTGATTTCGAGCATTCTCCAACGTTTATAAGAATATTGAAATTTAATCTCATTTAAGAAGACACCTCGATTTTCATGAATCATGCTAAAATCTCAGAACTTACAACTCTTTAAAATATCTCTAAATTTTCTAACATCTAAGAAAATTTAGAAATATTCCTCAAAGTTTGAAAATTCTCATGACATTGTTTTTTTATATAAAAAAAATCAAAGATATGTTCTCTCATTAAATAACCTCGAAATCCTCCAACGTCTAGAAAGATATTGAATGTAATCTCTTTTGAAAAAAGCTAATAGTTACAAAATTTACTACTTATATATGTATATGCATAAAAATATTTACAAATATAAGGTTAATTGATAAAATAAATGATTAAATTGAAGCATACCAAAAGTTTAGGGACTAAACCTAATCTAATTATACAATTTGCAAGGTAGTGACCAAAATGGAATTTCATGCTAAAACTTCAATGACCTAAAGGCAAATACCTTAAAACGTTTGACTACAAAACCTAATTTTTATTCTTTCTTTCCCATTTGAAACCTAGCCGATTATCTCTTCTCCAAATCCCTTTGCCCTTTAATTTTGCTTCTCTCGACCGCATTTGTTAAAGCCCAACGCTGTCGATTATCCGTCTTGTTCCGGCGTCATCTCCACTTGCCGACCACCGCTTAGGAACACAAACATTCCACCTCTTAGGCTAACCCTTGAATCCGACAACGAGGATTCCTCTGACTAAGGTAATGAAAACACTCTTCTCTCCTTTTTCTTTATTTTCGATATCAACTTGCATGCATTAAAACTTGAACACTAAAAGATGGCTAAAACCAGAATACCTTTGAAAAGTAAGGTTTTGATTGCTTGGTTCTTGATATCTTTGATTAAAAAGTGGGAAGGGATTCTTTGTATTGTTTCTCTAAAAAATGAAGGGAAAGATTTTTCTTTGTATTGTTTCCTCCCAAAATCGGGTCCTCTCTTTCATTGGTTTTCTTGGGTTTTTATAGCAACCCATATTACATTTGATTTCTTTCTTCCTCTTTTGCGTGTGATTGTTGATCTGGTAACTTCAACTGATTTGGGAGCTGTTAGGACAGGTTGCAGCAGTGGAGTTGAGATTGCAGGGAAATGGTAGCACAGTGATGGTAGGAAGATGGTAGCCATAGCGAAGGTAGGGGAGTTGAGATGGCAGGAAGTCAGGAACACCCGAGCATTCAATGTCTTAGAAGCTGTATTTTGATTTTTACTTTTCCTCTTGTTGTTTATTGTAATTAAATATAATAATATAATATCTTACGGATAAAAATGATGATTGATACAAATAAAATTTTAAAGTGAGTTTAATCAATAAAATGAATAATTAATAGAAAAAATAATTTTTTAAAAAAAATTAATTTTCTAGATAAACACTTAATCTAAAGAAAACATGGATCCATCACTGTAGTTATCCCTTCATAAATTGAAGGATTAACTACAGTAATAGTCATCAAATTTTAAGGAAACATTCACTTTGACTATCTAAATTTGAAAAACCCTAATTTTAGTAGCTACGATTAATTAAGGAAAACTTGTAATGTTGTCCAATTATTTGTGTATTTTCTATGATTGTAATTATGGACTTCATGTACTCAGTTATTAATTGAGTTTAAGAAATGTCAAGGTTTGAATTTTAGCGTTTGTGTGTAAAGTAAATTAAGTTGGAAGGGTCATCCCATAATAAATCTTTACAAAATCCTATCTGGATTAGTCCGTCATTACCATTGATTAAGTAAAAAAAATGCTCTTCCATTGATCTTGTTTGGGATAAATTAGGAATTTAGGTAGCACCTTATCTATGTTTTCTTGATTGATTAGAATTGCAGGAACACGACGAAATTGACACATGCATGTGGTAACGCAGTCAGCGTTAGGTGTTCAGTCGTACCAAAACATAGAGATATCCGTAACCTCCATGTGATCGCAATGGCCAAACATCCCATCTCTAGCACCAAACAAAACACAAAAGTTGCAGTTGAGAACCATTTTCAACAAAAATCAATAAACTGGAAATCAGTACCAATATTTGTATTTTCTAGCAACAAAGTTGCATTCCCAATTGGGTTAATAATTATCCAATCAAACGTCGTATAACACAGGTCAAAGCCACAAGGCACCGGCGTCTTTCAACGCAGGGATCAACTCCCCGCTGATATGAGTAGCCATAACTTTGTCCAATCCCCCGTACAACCTCCCGCCGATGAACACAGCCGGAAGCTGAACCATTTTTTGATCACTTCCGTTACCTTTACAAATCATCGTCTCCAGTTCATTCAAGACGCCGGCCTCGTCCTCCTCGTCGATCTCGTGAACCGCAGGGTTTACGCCCAGAGCCTGCAGCAAACGCCTCACTACATGGCTCATGCAACAACCCTTCCTCGCCAACACAATCACGGCGTTCTCCGACACGATTTTGATCACGTCTTTATTGCCGCCTCTTCCTCCTCGGCTTCTGTTCAGTACGAGGTTGCTGTTCTGGCCAACTGTCGTTGTTGTTGTCGATGATGATGGGGCGCCATGGGAAGTGGTGTTGATGCATGGCAGAGGCCAAGACTTGTATGGAATTGCTTGTTGCATCCTGAAAAATCAATTGTATGTATCGAAACAAATATATGGCAGATGGAAGAGAGGATATAAATATTATACATATATATAATTGTGTGTGCATATGTATATATATAAGCAAGTGGAGGCAAAAGGAGGGGAAATGAGTTTGAGATGTTGAAAGGGTCTGGCGTCAACGGCAGCTAGGCTGACGCGTCTGTGGTGGTTTAGCCTAATGGATGACGTTCATTGGATGTCATGTTTTAATAAATAAAAATATTTGGATAAAAATACAACTCAGGTCGCTTAAGTATTTGATAATAAATAGATCACTTTCTTTTTAGAAATTACAAATACGTCACTTGTAGACATCAATTTTCTTAAAAGATAGAGCTAGCAAGAGTTCATCTCTTAAGAGGACTCTTCCACCACCATATCTTTTAAAGCAACAACCACACCAACAAAACGTGCAACAACCGAGCAAGGAGTCTAGTTGCATTAGGATTCTATTGTTAGTTTATTTTTTTACTATAAATACATGTAATCCTCCACATTTGTAAGAGGATATACGAAATAAACAACAGAAATTACTAGCAAATCGGAGCAAAAAACGTGATTCTCGAAGAGGAAAATAAATAGAAAAGGTAAAAGCTTGTACCTTTATCGCTTTAAGTCTTTCATGTGTGTTTCTCCATTATTTTTGCTCGAGTCAAACCCAAATAAAATTATTTTTGTCCGATGAACGGGAATGTTTTTTAAAGATCTATCTTGTAGATCTAGTAATCTCGAGGCCTGATCTTAGAAAATTATTTGGATTTTCGAAAAATAAAGAATAAAAACTTAAAGTTAAAACATTCATTTCCCCCTAATGCGCAATATCAACGTTAATTGTCTTTTAAATTTGGCCTCAATTTTAGTTTTTCTTTTATAATAGTCCTTTGTTGTTACATGCATATATTTTTATTATTCTTATTATATATATATATATATATTAATTATCTTCATTTGACTATTTTTTTATTTTTTTTATTTTCTATATTCTATCGTTATTTATATATATATACTTTTAATTCTTTTTCATATATCATTATTATTTATATATATTTTATTACTATAATTATATGTTATATATATTTATTATTTTATATATTTCATTTTATCTTTTATTTTTTTTATCTTCTATTTTTATTTTTGTATTGTTATTATTATTATCTTCTTTATTTTATGTATTTTATTTATATATATTTTTTATATTTGTTTTTGTGCCTCTTTATTTTATTTTATTTATCTTGCTTACATCTTGTTTATCTGTTTTATTTTTTCTACTTTATTGCATTTATTTTTATTTCACATTCTTTATTTTATTCATTTTTACTACATTTTTATCTAACATGTTTCTTGACTTCCTAAAGGGTACACTTTTAAAACTATCAAGGGTAAGTATTTGGGATTGTTATTTTACCTTTCAAGTTAAACTTTCAATTTTCTTAATTAAAGACAATTGGAAATTACATAGTACCGAAAGGGTAGTTCAAGGGTGTTAACCTTTCATTGACTGTAACTGACTCCCGAATCCGACACATCTTTGGTACGACGCATATCAGGTAAGAAATAAGGTATCCGATCAACCAATTTTTCATAAAATAAATGATCGGTGACGACTCCCAACCCAATTATTTCAAGTCGAAGCTCAAATTCGGGGCCCAACCGAAAAACGGTTACGACATCACTTTAACTAAAATTTTACTCGTCACTTGTCATCAAATATTAGATGAAATGGTAAAATTGATTGCTATTATATTAATTTTATTCTTCAATTTATTAGTAATTTTAAGGAATCACAAGTAAATTTAACCCTTCAACCATTCATATCTAAAATTACCTAATTTTATTATTTGTTCTTATCCTAAAATTTTTGTTATTTTCCAATAAATAGTATATTACTTTTCTATTATAAGAATAATTTATTAACAACTTATTACTATTTTATGACATGATACAATTATCCAATATTTGTTTTAATTTAATAGACTCAATTGATTTAATGGTGTCATAAAAAATAAAATTTATGAAAAATTTAAATATAAATAGCTAAATTTATTTAATTATTTTAAAATATGATAAAATATATAATTTTCAGCGACTAACTTATCATTTCAGCCAAAATGTTTTCATATCATCATGAGAAAGCCTAGGTGCATTGTCTCGAAGAGGGTGACCGTTTCTTCGTGCTTAAAACTCCGATGTGAAACAAGGTTTGGGAATATTAATGGGTCCAATTATTGGTTGTCAAAAGCAGAGTTGAAAGCCGATTTTAATGTACGAGAAACGAAGAAAACTGTGGAATTAAGGGGAGTGGTCAGCAGGCCGTGACGTATACCCTAAATCAAAGAAGAAGAAGAAAACAATGTACGTAGACAGGAGAAGCTTCTTCGTTATAAATATCAATTGTCCTGCCTTTTGTCTTGCGTAAGCTTACGCAATCGTTGCGTTCCTCCGGTATGTTGTTCTACAATAATACGCATAATGCATCCATGCATGCGATAAGTACATATAATCATGATTTTTAAACGTCGCTAAATTAAAATATAAATAATTATAAAAAGGAAAATATATATTTGATTAATAATATGGGTAAATAACATGTTTAATACTTAAACTATCAATTTTAATTCATTTTGGTACCTAAACTTTTATTTTTTTAAAAAAACTATACTTAAAGTTAAGTTTTGAAAAACATTGAATGCTCATATACTAAAACAAATAAAAACTTTTATTTTAAGTTTAAACGCGTTAAATTTTTAATGCTTGATACTAAAATAAAATAAAATAAATAAATATTAAGTATGGTTTTATAAAATTAAAAATTTAAATAATAAAACAAATCAAAATTAATAATTTATGTACTAAGGGGTTGTTTAATTAAATCAGAATGATTAAGCGTTGAATGATTTAATGACCTGAATGATTCAAAGGCTCTGTATGAATTAATTCTGAATTTGACATGTTTGATAATGGTTCTGAATAATTCATAATGTACTTTAATACTGAATCGTTCAGCACAATCTTCATTCAGATGTGAGAATCAAACACGCTGAATGCTAAACAATTCCATTCAACAGTAAACAAACGACCCTACCATTGTACCATGTGAGAAAAAATAGTTGATGGATATTAATGTGACCCACACGTCTGGGGCTAGTCGGTGAGTTAAATGATGAATGGAGGACGTCAGCCAAGTGGCAGCCGTAACTGGATTACGGTAGCATACATCAGCAAACGTGTTTTATGACGTCGAGTGTATGGCCCGCCACGTGAGAAGCAAGACCCCTGTCTTTAGTTTGGAATGTTATTCCTTCTACTATTGATTTAATATAATTTAAAATTTATTTTTAATTTTAAATATTGATTTATATATTAATTAATTAAGATTAAATATTATAAAGAAATAAGATACGCATATAACCACATTTGATATCAGCAGTATGTACATCCAGTTGGTTATTGACCAATAAATGATGGAAGAAAAAATAGAAAGAAAACAATTTATTCTTCCCTTCTAGAATTTCAGTTTAATAAGAAACAGCCAGCCGGCCATTGAGACAGATACGTACGCGTGTACGAAGTTAGGACTAGATCAAGAATGAGAGAGTTGATACTGCAGTGATTTCCTTCTAAATAAAATCAAAGCCAGTTTAAACTTGTAAAAATTTAGGTCGACTTTGAACATCTCGGATTCATTTATTGGCCGCCTCCTTCTGGTAAAAGTAGAGTCATGCTTACCTACGTATGTGTAAGATCGAAGGAAATCAAATATTTTATTTTTTTTTCAGTGAATATATTTTTTATTTAATTTTGTTAATCTCAGTCTTTAATTTCTCTCGTCCTATAATACTAAAGGGCTATAAAATTAAAAAAAATTATACTTTAAGAAGTTAACAATATAATTAAATTCTAATTTAAAATATATAAATTTAAGATTTATATGTTCAAGAAAGTGATACTTTAGATTTAACAATTTATTTATTTAAAGTCTTCAGCTTATCCGTTAACGATGTTTATACTTTAATATTTTTATACATTTTTAAGGATTATACATGTTATTTTTCTGATTTTATAATGTTATAAAATATTTGAAATATTTATATATTTTAATAATGTCAAGTGTTCTTCTATTGTTTTTTATAATATTATTTGTAAAGTAATATTACATTTCCATGAACCGAACATTCCTTAACCTAATTAGATGAATAAAATTTAATGGTAAAAGGAAAAATATAAAGTAATATTTTTAATTAAATCAATTCAAATTGAATTTGAATGGATAAAATAAAGTTTCTGATAAAATATCGAAATTTAACATATATCGATTATGAGCCCACTATTTGGCCCTTTAGCCTGGGTTCACATCACCTACCCAAGCGTGCCTGTATTTAGGGGTGTACAAAAAATCCGAATATCCGATTTTACGAAAAAAAATATCCGAAACCGGATTTGGGAAAAATCAGTTTTTTTTAACCAGTTCGGATTTTTTTAAACCAGTTATTTTAACCGGTTTGGAGAAAAAAACCTAGACCGGTTTTTTTACCGGATAAAAAACCGGTTAAAAAACTGGTTTTTATCCGAAAAAAACCGATCTGAGTTTAAAAAACTAGCCGTTAATATAGCCGTTGGGGGGGGGGTTTGTGACCGTTTTTGACCGTTTTTTTCTTTAAAAAATTACCATTTTACCACCCTAAACATGTATAAATAGGTTGGAGATGTATTTGGTTGATTACAACTTTCTCAAATCTTATTACACAACACCTAAACATCTCTCATCTTATTTTTGTAATTTTTTGTTCATCATGAGTAACACGGTTGAATCTTCCGTCGGGGGAAACCTTGAAGTCGTGAGAGTGATCGAACACACTCGAAACAAAGATATTTGGGATCACTACGATTTATGTGAGATGTCAAATGGCTCGAAGAGGGCGCGTTGTAAACTTTGTCTAAAGTTTCTTGCATCGGAAGGAAACACAACGTTGAAGAACCATTTGACAAAATCATGCAAGGCACTTCGCTCAAGATCGGATCCTAGTCAATCGAATCTTACACCACAAGGT